GGGAGAAGAAGTTGAGGCCAGAGCAGAGGAGTAGATATGGCATCCATAATCAAGAGTGGAGAGGATCAAGGTAACATGAAGATGGAGAGTTTTAAGATTCGAAGACGGCGCAGAGCTTTTTCTTTAATGTAAAGAATATGGTCTCGCCAGGATAGTTTAGAGTCGAAAATGACACCTAGGAATTTGCCAGAGGAACGGTATTGGAGTGGAGTGCCATATAAGAAGAGTAGAGGTAGGGGACCTACATGTGTGCGAGAGAAAAGGATGGAGAAGGATTTGGAGGTAGAAAAGCGGAAGCTATGGTTTGTGGCCCAGGAAGATACTGATGAGATTGCAGACTGAAGAAATTGGTATGGATGTGCCAGAGGCACAGATGGTTAAATCATCAACATATAGCAATTATCAATGTCATTAACAGCAACAAGGAATAAAGTGGTACTGAGCACACTGCCTTGTGGGACACCTTCGATTTGAGGAAAGAATGATGATGTGGCAGAGGCAACTTTGACCTGGAAAGTGCGTCGGGAGAGGAAAGACGTATGCCTAGAGAGGACAATTGTTGGAGAATATGGTACCGCCATGTCGTATCATATGCTTTTTCTAGATTAAAAAATATAGCTAGTACGGATTCATGGCGTGCAAATGCGGATGTAATATATGTTTCAAGAGCAAAGGGGTCAGCTGTGCTTCGGGCACGGCGAAAACCAAATTGAGAAGGAGAGAGAAGATTGTGAGATTCAAGATACCACATTAAGCGGAAGTTCACCATTCGCTCTAAAAGATTGCACAAGCAGCTAGTTAGTGCGATGGGGCGATAGTCTTGAGGGAGGGTACCCGATTTATTGGGTTTCAGGAAGGGGAGGATAAGATCTCGCCAATTTGAAGGAAAATTTCCTTATGTCCATATGTGGTTGCAAAATTTTAATAGGATGGATAAGGAGGAAGATGGGAGTTGCCGGAGCATACGGTAGTGAATACCGTCAGGGCCTTCATGAGTGTTGCGGCACGATTGTAGGGCAGGACTGAGTTCAGAGGAAGAAAAAGGAGCATTATAGGACTCTGCAGAGAATGGGGTGAAGATAATGGGGGTACGTTCTCTGATGGTCTTAACAGAAGAGAAGTGTGGAGAAAGGTGAGAACCACTACTGATCTGGCTGAAATAATCACCCAGGTCATTAGCGACTTGGAGAGGATCAGAAATGAGGGTATCTCGAATATGGAGGACGGGGGCAGGATAGGGGGGATGTTTGCCTGATAGTTTATGGATTCGGCGCCAAACATTTGAGATAGATGTAGAGGATGTAATTGATGAAACATAATTTTTACTATTCCGGATTGTACGACGAAGACAGGCAGATGCTCTTTTAAAGAAAATAAGGGCTGATAGTTGATTTGGAGTACCTCTCTTGTAGCGGTAACTGTTCCAGGCTGCATGTTTTAAGCGAAGTGCTTTAGTGCAATCAGAATTCCACCATGGAACACATTTGGAGGTATAGGGTCTTGAGGTTTGAAGGATAGCTGTATGGGCAGCTCTTAGGACTATAGTTGTGAAACACTGTATCATTTCTGAAATGGATGAGAGGGAGGATGGAGGGATATGAATAGCAGAGAGTGAAGTGAAAGTACGCCAGTCGGCTCTATCAAAGCACCAGCGTGGGGAATTAGAAAGTGGTACATATAAAGCAGGGCAAAGGACAACTGGAAAGTGTTCACTATAGGGAAAGTGGTCTAGAACTGACCAGTGGAAATCTAAATGAAGAGAAGGGGAGCATAGAGAGAGGTCAATGCATGAAAAAAAATTGCGTGCGTGTATCAAAGTGTGTGGGGTGATTTGAATTTAGAATAATAAGGTCAGCTGTGGAGAGGAAGCGCTCTAGAGATCGGCCTTGGAAGTTGGTGATAGAATCACCCCAAAGAGTGTGGCGGCAGTTAAAATCATCAACTATGAGGAAAGGTGGTTGAAGTTGGGAAATTATATTTTCAAAAGCAACAAAGTCAATGGGGTGGGAAAAGGGAGAAGTAGACTGAAAACACTGTGATCCAGCGGTGAAGAAAGATACGAATAACTGCAAGGGACATTGGTTTGAAAGGGTGGTGTGACATAAGGTGTTTTCTGATTGATAAGTATGGACGAGACAGACAGGGAGTGTGGGGAAGAGACAAAATGATAATTGGTGATTGGTATTGGAGGATGTGTAAGAAAGGTCTCTCGAAAGCATACAATGGATGGGTTATAAGAGGAAAGGCTATGACGAAGGTCGGGTCTGTGAGAGCGGAAACCGCGAATTTTTCAATGAAGGATAGTTATACTTCCGTTGATTTAGTGATATAGACTGTAGTACGTGTTGGGGAATTTGAAGGGGAAGCAGCTAGAGGGTCTGAGAGGGGGGAGGTGTGGGAGTTAGTGTTGTATCAGGAGGGGTATTAGGAGGTGGGTCTGAGGAAGGGGATACTTGGGATATAAGGGATTCACGTGTGTATCCAGGAGGGAGTGGAAGGGATAAAGGGGATGGTGGGAGGGTTAATGTGGGTGGGGTTGGAGTTGGGGGGGATGAGCTGTGTTGGGAGGGGGTAGGAGGATAGGGTGTAGGGGGGATATCGTTAGGAGGAGGATGGATATCGGCAGTCACTTGGTGTGTGGAGGGAGCAGGAGTTGTAGGATTTAAAGGTTAATTAGTGTCAGTTTTCATTAAGTAGTCTTGTATATTTTCAAGAGTTTCTTCAATGGAGTTGGTTGGGGAGTTTTGTGAGATAAAGGATTTCTTGTGAGGGGGGGAAGAGAGGACTGGTGTCTCAAGAGTAAGGGCAAAGGATGGTGGAGGTGATTGTGTGGTAGGGGAAGAGGGGGTGGAACGTTTGTTCTGTCTGTTGCGGGTAGTGTGGGGAGGGAGAGGGGAAGGTGTTGGAGTTGTAGTGGAGATTGGAGTGTCTGTAGTAGAGATTGGAGTGTCTGGATTTAGGACAGCAAAAGAGTTTGATTGGGGAAGGTAGGAGGTAGAAGAGGGGGAGTTAGTTGGAGGGGGGGTAAGTTTAGGAGAGAATGTAGGAGCTTGGGAAGTTGGGGAAGTGGTAGAATGAGCAATATTACTGGAGTAGGGATTAAGAGAAAAACCTCGTCGACGTGCTTCCTGTCTGGCTTCACGTAGTGGGGCTATTTGAAGAAGGGGCAAGCTTCATTGCCCCCCCTAATGGAAGCCGCCTTGCCGCGGTGGGGGGGCTTGAGGTCCCAATGATCTGGTGAGCCGGACCAGAGGGCTACCCATACTGGAGGGGTCACCAGTAAGGGGTGAGACAAAATGGCTTCCAGGTGCACCAAGGCCTATGAGAGGGGATGGTGCACCCACCCCTGGTTCATTCCATCTTGGACCAGGGAGAACTCTCCCACGTGTGTCTGCCGTGCGTGGCGTTCTGGAGGTTGAGCGATGCTTCACGCTGCGCCCTGCAGCTAGCAACACGCCTCTTTGGTCCTCTATTCTGGTTAGACGGGTGGCTTGATCAAGGCCCGGTCAAGTCAATCGGCTGGTCAATATGGCTAGGGTCAAGCAGGCACTGTTCAGTCGGTAGCGCATGGGTCCCGCGACTACCATCAGCACTGTAATGGTGACTGCGTATATTTCCTCACTACCCCTGTGGCTGTTGGGAGAATTTGAGCCCCAACTATAGCTTCCCCTCGTTGGACTCCATGGTGGGTGGGGGGGTGTGAGGAAATGAAGATTTCTAATTTGTATGATTACTACAAATTTAAAAAGAACTTTAAAAAGCTCTCTCCCTGACGACATTCGCAATCCCCTGGCCAATCCCTCTGGAACATCACATATTGCCACTCTGGAACCTTACCAGATTCCAAAGGGCAAAAATGGGAATCGTAATGGTTCCCGAGCTCCCAAACCAGGTAAGAAGGAGAAAAGTCCTTAATCCATTAAGGAAATCTTAATTGGTAAATACGAAAATATATCTTATAGTAAATGCTTAGTTGTGAAGACCATTGATGGTGTATCTATCACGGATCTTGATATTTTTGAAGTACATCGGAAGATAGTTGAGGTGTGTCAACGTGATCCTCGCATCACTCCACAGCGAGATGGTAGCCTGACAGTTGAGGTATCACCAGATGAGAGTGACCGTCTGCGTACAATATGCAGCATTCCTGGGGCTCAAGTCTCATGTTCTCACAAAACAATCAATGTAAGGGAATTGTTTTTTCCCGAGACCTGATGAGGTATTCTGAGGAGAAACTGTTAGAAGAATTAAAGAATTTTAATGTAGTGGCTGTAAAACGTTTTAAGAAGTTGTTGGTTTAGAACAGTCGACACCAGCTCTTCTTTTAACTTTTGAAACATTAGTCCTTCCTGAATCGGTTAAGTTGGCTTGGTACCACCTCAAGATAAAGCCATATATACCCAACCCTATGCAGTGCTTCCATTGTCAGGGTTATGGGCATGGAGCCAACTCTTGCCGTTTTAAGGAAAATGGACAACCAAGAGTGTGAATTGTGGTACAACAGGTCATCAAGGAGATGACAACTGTCCAGGTCCAGTATGCTGTTACCACTGCAAAGAACATCATGAAGCTTCTTCTAAGCAATGTAAAAGTTACAAGTTTGAAAAAGAAGTATTGGTAATAAGGAGCAAGGAGAAAGTTAGTTTTGCAGAAGCAAAGCGACGTACCCGTGTGCTGTTTGCACAGCCGGGTAAGTCCTTTGTTTCAGTTCTAGCCCATCCGCCTTCCTACTGTCCCTTACCTTCCAATACTTCTAACACTACACACTCTGCCACTACCTTTAAAACTCCGCAAATGGTGAAATTTCCTCTGTTGAGTTGTTCCACCAGAAATGGAGTAAGAGTGAAGGGTCTGGTGAGGAGACTCCTCCCAAAATAAGGTCTTTGGAGCTATCAGGTAAGGCTCCAGAAGCCTCAGTGGTGACAGCTTCAGCTGCCACCACATCCACAGGGGCCTCTACTGCTAGGTAGGATGCCCCTGAACCAAAGTCTCAAGTACGCCCTTTGCACAGGCAGAGGAATCCTGAGCCTGTTCAAAAGACTCCTCATAGAGTCGGGCCTTTGGAGCCACCAGGCAGGGCTCTAGAGGCCACCACATCCACAGGGGCCTCCGCTGCTAGACAGAATGCTCCTAAACCAAAGGCTCAGGTCCGTCCTTTGCCCAAGCAAAGAAATCCTGAGTCTGCCCAAAGGAAGCCTGTGGAAACTAGTTCCACAGGTAAACAACCCATAAAACGGTATTCCCAAGATGCTGGAAAGGGACAGCCTGAAGGTGTGGGGCGGACCTTAACCGCAGGTGCTGCCGAACATCTTATGTAGCTTGTCAACCTGAAGAACTGGATATCCTAATCCAGTGGAATTGTCAGGGAATTCACGCAAAATGGGAAGAATTGCAACATCTGATAGCTTCTTGTAATACAGTTTGTGTATGCCTACAAGAGATTACGACCAGGGAAAATCGTCCAATTTCCATGAGAGGATTCCAAGTTCAAGCCCATTATGGGAGGTTTGATAATGGACCTCTTGGAGGAGTTGCAGTGATGGTACATCAGGATATTCCCTACCAGGCCATCCAGCTGCAGACAACACTGCAGGTGAAGGCTGCATCATCTCTGGGGAGACACTTTGTACAACCCTCGAGGAAGGGCCTTGGAGTCCTTGTTCTCAAGAGTAGATGCAGTTTTACTGAACAGTGACGCACCCACACATTTCCAAATTCAAACTGGGACATTCTCCAATATTGACCTGTCAGTTGGTTCACCTGATTCCCAGTTGAATTCCACTTGGCAGGTCATGGAAGACTTACATGGAAGTGACCACTTTCCAATACTTTTGAAAGAGGTGAATGGTATTCCAGCCAATGGAGATGGTGGCTTGAACATGCAGACTGGAATCTTATTAGATCAACTGCAGCATTGCAAGGATCTGTGAATGATTTCCAGTGTGTTCAAGATGCTGTTAATCACTTCGTCTCGTCTGGAGCATCTTACACTGCCCGATTCTCCACTCTTTGGGATGAACAGGAACGAAACCCAGTGTCGTTCTTCAGTAGCACTGCAGCAGAACTTCCATACAACATGCCATTTCTGCGCAAGGAGATGGACTCTGCTTTGCAGCTCTGCCGTTAGACTGCCTCAGGAAGTGACGATATTCCATACCAAATGATATCTCACTTACCGGAGAGCTCCCAAACGTTCCTATTGGATCTGTTCAATAGAATCTACAGGGAGGGAACAGTGCCATCCACATGGAAAGAAGTTATAATCATTCCTGTCCCTAAACCTGGCAAGGATGCTTCCATACCAGGGAATTATAGACCAATTTCTCTCGCCAGCTGTATCTGCAAGTTGATGGAGAAAATGGTAAACTTCAGGTTGACATGTCTGCTAGAAAAAGAAAACGTGCTGACCCCATATCAATATGGGTATAGACAACTGAGATCGACCACAGATGCACTTGTGAGGATGGAAACTGCTATACAGAATTCCTTCACACAGTCTTCTTTGACCTTGAAAAGGCTTATGATACGACTTGGAAGCATGGCATACTCATGAAACTGTATGACATTGGTTTAAGAGGAGCATTGCCAACCTTCATACAAAGCTTCCTTGCTAACAGGAAGTTTAGAGTGAGGGTGGGAAACAACTTCACTAACCTGGAAGATCAGCTGGAGGGAGTCCCGCAAGGGAGCGTCTTAAGTGTGACCCTGTTTGCCATTGCTATCAATGACATCGTTCCAAGTGCTGTCTCATCTAGTCTGTATGTCGTTCCAAGTGCTGTCTTATCTAGTCTGCTCCTGAGCAGTACACTGTACTGCTCAGGAGCAAGCTTACAGGATGTGCAAGGACACATGCAAACTGCAATGAATCAGGTTGTGCAATGGGCAACATACCATGGCTTCAAATTTTCTCCAAGCAAGACCATGGCTATGGATTTCCACAAACGAGGAAAGTTTCAGCCTTCCCTCTATTTAGGAGCAAACCCACTACATTTTGTCCAACAGGTAAAGTACTTGGGTCTAATTTTTGACTCAAGGCTTACATGGGTGCCTCACATTAAACAGTTAAAGGTGAAAGATACAAAAGTTCTTTCCCACCTATCTTGGGGTGCAGACCGCACAACGCTTCTGCGACTTTACCGAGCACTTATTCGTAGTAAACTTGACTATGGATGTGAAGCTTATTCATCTGCAACTCCCACCGTTCTCCGGATGTTGGACTCGGTTCATAATGAAGCCCTGAGAATTTGTATAGGGGCTTTCAGGTCTTCACCTGTGGAGTCCCTGTATGCTGAGAGTGGAGAACCACCTCTTTCACCGGGGCTACATGAACCTGATTTACTACACGAGACTACAAAGGAGTCTGGGATCTCCTACATCCAGATTGGTTTTCAACCCCCTTGAGGATAGCCGATCCTATGGTAGGAGAATGAGGAGTCTTGTGGAAGATCTTGATTTAAATCTCACAAAGGTTCTGGCTGTTGGAACTTCCCAAGTCCACCCTTGGACTAATCAAGTCGAGCTTGATTTGGTCGGAATTGGGAAAGGGGAGAGATCCGAAGCAGAAGTCAGAGAGATATTTCTTCATCACACTTCTAAGTACCAGGGATCATATGCAATATATACAGATGGTTCGAAATCTGAAAATGGTGTGGGCTTTGCAGCAGTGAGCAGTAGGAAGACTGCATCTGGCAGTCTTTCTCGATCAGCCTCGATTTTCACTGCAGAGTTACATGCCATCCTTGCAGCAGTCAAGATGAATAGAGATCTTACGAACAATTCTATTACAATATATTGTGACTCTCGTAGTGCCTTGCGAGCAATCAAGAGCTTAAACTCATCACATCCAGTGGTGAGGGAGGTTCAAGACTGGCTTGCATTGATGTCAGCACGTAAAAAGATAACTCTGTGTTGGGTGCCAGCACATATTGGTATCAGTGGGAATGAGCGAGCGAGAAGGCCAAGGCAGCTGCCGCTCAGCCTTGTGATGCTCGTTTTCCTCTCCCACACACTGATTTGAAACCCAGCATCAGAAGTTGTCTTCGTGGTAAATGGAGGGAACAATGGAGGCAACAATGGAGGCATACCTCTAGAAATAAGCTACGAGAGATTAGAGATGACCTTGGCAGTTGGGAGACCAGCATCCACCGAAACCGACAAGTGGAAGTTGTATTAACAAGGCTGAGAATTGGGCACACAAGAATGAGAGTGAAGCACGCTGTGAGGAATGCCAAGAGCCATTAACGGTCGCACATATAGTGGAAAGATGTGCAACATTCTCAGACCAAAGACGAATACACTGAAAAATGTATTGGGGGAGGATTGTGACATAGAAGGTCTTATTAGTTTCCTTAGGGAAACTAATATTTTCAATAAAATTTAAGTATGCATAATGTTTATGCAATAGTTTTTAGACATTTAAGGCATAATGTTTATGCTTTGATTTTTAATATAATATTTATTGTTATTTATAACATTTATTGATAGATTTTTAACGTTTTAAATATTTTATTATTTCAGTCTTACAAGGTGTTTGCCGCTAATGACTTCAACTGTTGACGCGGCAGATAATTTTAAATAATCAATCACGGTCAATTGGCTGGTCTCCCACGGGAGACTAGGGCCAAGCAGTCATGCCATCATTGGCACTCACAATGGCCCGTGAGCGCCGTTACAATATTTATTGGCTGCGTATATCCTCTCATCACGCCTGTGGCTGTCATACACTGGTCCTGACACTCAGCTTCCCCTTGGTGGATGGGGGCGTGAGAGGATGAAGCACTGTCCAAATACATGGAAAATTCAAAACAAAATCCCCCAATAACAGATCATAAAGTTGACGACTCAAGTAAGGCCCAGACCATGGCAGCCACCCTGGAGCCATATGTGGCTCCTAGTGGCAAAAGAAAACCTAACTCTGTCCATCAGCTTGTAAAGCAGATAGACTCTCGTGCTGGTCTCTCCAGACCAGCAGCCAAGCCAGGGAGGCCCCTGAGTCCCTCTCAGACGGCCTCCCCGACTGAGATGGGAGCACAGGCTGGACCAGCCAAACCAGCTGCTGCCCCCACGAACAAGCCCCCAAGCCGAAAGGGCTGGCCGAAGCGACCAAGGCTGGAGACAGACTCTGATAGAGAGTCTGGACCCCCTAGTCGTTTCCCCCAGTTCAAAGTGCCAGCCAAACCCGAAGGCTTCGACAATGCCTACCAATTGGTGAGGGCATTGGAGATGCAGAGGCAAATCTGGCTATCAATCCAGGTTGCCAGAGATCAAGGCATGATCATAATGCTGAAAGATCAAGCCACCTTGAATTTCCTTCGGGAAACCAAGGAATTGAAGGATGGGAGAAAAGGGAGTCTTTCCCCATTAAACCCAGAGGAGAAGAGAACCAAGATGGTGCTACTTGGCTTCTCAGTCTCTTATGATGTGGAGCTGATCACTTCACATCCACAGGTCGTGGAGGTTTCCCGATTGTCGGTAGGGAAGACTCCAACCAGGCAAGTCCTGGTGACTATGAAACGTGCCCCAACCACTACCCTTGATCTGAGTAACTGGGACACCTACAACCTCCGTACGTACGTGCCTGAACCACTTCGGTGTTTTAAGTGCCAAAGATATGGCCACCACCAGGCTAGCTGCACAGCCAAGCCTAAATGTGGTGTCTGTAGCAAGGCACATAGCACAGAGTGTGCCTGAAGGCCTACTAAGGGGAAAAGAGGGATACAACAGCCAAAGGTCCCAACTGTGCCAAGAGGCATCACACCTGGAGCCTGGCTTGCTCTGTCAGGAAAGAGGCGGCCCTCAGGCGACAAGAGGTTGCTAAAAAGCGACCAGACTTCATTCCTGCTCCCTCAGGCACAAATGTCTGGGGAAGGAACAAAAGTGAAAACGCTTCCCGACCTCCTAAGAGGAAGGAAGCCACCCCCCAGCCGACACCGGACGTCTCCAACACGAGTTTCCAGACATGCCAAAGAAGCAGAGAAAGAACCAAAGGAATAAAGGTTCAAAGCACTCCCCAAGAGATGATGACCTCCTCTTTGATGAGGCAGACATGACTTTCCTGGTCACTGCTGTAGTCACAGCAGTAGCAACATACCTGGGGAGGACAAGTGAAGAGGCAGTCACGGTCGCCATGACGGCAACCAGTGTTGTCGCTCTATCCACAGTTAGTGAGGATAAGTCGCTTACTCTCCGAAAACCCTGCGTTTTCTATTTATGGATTGAAATGAAACGTTTTCTATGAAAGCGCCAGGTGTAACTATACAAATAAGTATCAAGGTTTATAGTTTAAGGAAATACACAAACAATGATTTGCAAAAATATTTAATATAACAATACAAAATATCAATTCATTTGATGATATTATCTAACAACATTGGAGACGGCTTGAAGTTATAGCAGTGTCCTTGCTCCCTTACGGCCTCTGACACTACTGTCAACGATTGAAGAGCAGGCATCTGTAACCGATTTCTATGATCGGTTTTGATTAAATGTAATTTGGAAAATAATCTTTCTGCAGCCGCATTAGATGTTGGCAATGCCAAAATCTGCAATGAAAATGTTGCTAAAGTTCTGAACGTATAATTCCCTCTGCAGTCTTGAATATTTATAATTTTTTTTGTAAAATTCAATTATATTAGGTTCCTCCCTAATTTCTGCTGGAATGTCAATAGAATCTAGATTTCTCCACTCATTATCTAATTCTTGGAGATTTGATTTAAAGATGCGAGGAACCTGTTGGGCAAATTCAAACAGTGAAGGATGTGTTAATCTGCTTTTATGGTCTAATTTTTTTTTTTTTTTTTTTTTTTTAAAGAAGCAAAATAACACAATTTGAAGTTAAAATCAAATCGAACTTTTATTTGTTTTACTAGCAGGATCATCATACCACGACAACGTGATCTAACATGGTTAACCATTTCACTGTTTGAGGAATAATAATGCTGTTGCAAAAGTTCATGGACGGCTGCTCCTAAATAAATATTGGGTAAGGGTACATGACTCTTTTCATTTGTTGGATCAAATGACATTAAATCAGACCTGTCAACACATTCTTTCTTGCAAAAATAATAAAGTAAGTTTTTATAGAGTAATGTTAGTGTTTCATAAATTAAGTGAAGGCTTGGACCATTATGCTGAAACATCAGATTTAAATTATTTAATGTCGGTAAAATAAAATTAAGAAAATTAAAATTCAAAAATACAGAAGGATCCTTCAAGTCCTTATTTATCATTTCAACTGATCTCAACCTTTCTTGGCATTCTATTTTAGAAAAATACAATTTTAAGGCCTCCCATTGTTATGGGGCTTCAACTCCAAGAATTCCTGGGCCTTTTTGAATTCATGCTTCCTTTTGGCACTGTGGGTGAAATGTGTATAAATGTTCCTAATTAAATCTTCACAGTGGCGAGGTAAGCTTTTCACTGCCTCTGAAGCACAAAGGTGTAGGCTGTGACAAATACATTTAAAAATAGTTATTCCAGGGAAATTTTCCCTTAGTCTACTGCTAATGGAATTGTTTTCCCCCATGATGTTTGAGGCCCCATCAGCTGCAAACCTAACAAAAATTTTAAGAGGAATTCCGTGGGCACTCAGAGTTGCTATAATAAGATGGTAAAGGCTCTCCCCACTAGAGTCAACATATCCCTGGCTTTCGTCATATATATCAATAAGCTGAAGTGTCGAGTTCCTTATAACATATTGTTCAGAATCAAAAAAATTCACAACTACTGTCATACATTTTGTCGTGCTTACATCCGTTGATTCATCAGTTATGACTGAAAACTTTTCTTTTTGAAGTTTAGCCACTAAGGCCTTCGTAATGCAGTTTCCCATTAATTTGGTACATTTTGTTTTTTTCATATGCAGTTCTCGGGCAATGGCAGAATCTGGGAACATGGCTTTGAATAGTTCCACCATATGGTCGGCTATGGAAAATGGCAAGTTATGTTCTGCAAGGAAACATACCATTAAAATTGTTGCCAATTTCACTCCTGCAGAACAGGACTGCTTCGGGTCGTCTTGCAGGCCTTCATCCATATCCCGCGTTTGCTGCCGATTGGCCTCACAGCTGCGATGATATTGAGACGATTGGCCTCACAGCTGCGATGATATTGAGAGCCCTGCAAGAATGAAAATAATATGCAAAAAATGTATATCTAAAACCTACACACATACAAATACATACACCTGCATCCATATACCTATGTAAACATACCCACATCCACACAGATACCCACATCCACACAGATATCCACATCCACACAGATATCCACATCCACACAGATACCCACATCCACACAGATACCCACATCCACACAGATATCCACATCCACATCCAAATACATAACCGCATCCAAACAGAATCCACACATCCACATACATAGTCACATCACATACACATATCTAAGCATATTCATATACACATGGATACAAATGATGTATCTTTGCAAGTAATCTTACCTTATGTCTCTTGATGGTTGTGAGGTCTGCATTGAATTCCTTGTGACAGGTGTTGCAGAAGGCTTTCGTCGGCTCATCCTTCACAGGTGATAACCAGGGCTGAAATTCTTCCTTCAGCAGCCACTCATTTTTAAGCTTTCTTTTAGTAGCCATAATGCCTGTATATGCACATAAATAGATATATTAAATCGGAAATCCAAACTTTAGGGGAAATATTAAATTAGTTATCCCCATAAAACATTCTCCTTTATTACAGAAAATGGTATAACTAAAGCGAGGGTAAAGTTAACTATATTTCACTATTAATATGACAGTAATATAATACAATAGTATTCTTACCGTAGATAAGCTCGAATTGTTCTTGAAGTTGTCGAAAAATAAAATTCACAGACGGTAATGAGGATCACTGACATGTATATTTGAACACGGTCAAATGCCGGTGACATTGTGCTCAACCCCATCTTGTCAACTACTAGACACTACTTTACTACGGGCTTATAGATTATTCAGGAACGTTAGTTAGTTCATATGTAGATTTATGGACATAGAAACGCGTTTATGCATATTCTAAAATGATCTAATTAGTTATTTTTGCCCTGGAATGAATAACACTGTTTTGTATTATAAGAATGTTTTATATGCATGTTTTTCATTATTATCAACCTCAAAGGAAAAAAAAGCCATAATTTGTCTTTTAAACATTATTGACATTTTATTAATTTTAATTCAAGGCCATAGTCATTATTAAAGAAATTTAATCTCCGTAGCTGTAGATGACGAAAGAAATTCTACAAAGAGTTGCCAGGTGTCGCCATTTATCGCCGATTTCGCTCAAATTTCTTCAAAACGACGACGTTGACGGCAATGACCCAGACTGTCGCAGTCCTGAAGGGAAGAAAGCTGGAAAGAGTGAAACCAGCTACACCCACACCCCAGGACGAGACTCCCCTCCCCACTCCAAGCCAGGCCATGCCTTCACAGGCAGAGCCAAAACAGGCTGAATCTGTGCAGCCAGAACACGCTGACCTTGTCCAGGCAAGGCCAGCAAAGAGAAACACAGAGAAAAAGCCTGAGAGAAAAGCCAAAGTAACCAAAGTCAGAGCTACCAAAGGTTCTCCACCCCCCAGTGGACCCAGGGATAGCCTGACTACAGATGAAGACCCCTCAACCAGCGAGGACTTCACAATGGAGTTCTCAGACTCCGAAAATTCCGAATATGACGATGTCTCTGATGTAACTATCAACTAGTAACATCATAGCACACAACCTAAGCATCCTACATTGGAACATCAATGGCTTCTCTGGAAGGAATGCCATTCTCCAAGCAGTAGTGCGATCAAGGAGCATTGACATTGTCATGCTCCAGGAGACACGAATAGAGGGCACTGTTCGCTTCTCAGGGTATCATGTCTTCATGCTGTAGTGGCTTAGATATCAGCCAGGTCTGTGCTTCTGCAGCACAAGACCGAGTAATCATAGGGGGAGACTTCAATGCACACCACCCCATCCTGGCTCCCTGCCGGGTACCGGATGCGGCTGGCTATCACATAGCCAACGTGCTTGAGACGTTCCCTGAGATCGCTCTCCTCAATACCCAAGAGCCAACGCATGTCAGAGGAGGGGTACTAGACCTCACCCTGGTCACTGTGACTCTGGTGGAGAGGATTAGCTGGTGTGTCGATGAGACTGTCACAAGTGACCATTACGGCACTCATGGATGCTGGCCCAGCCGAAATCCCATGACTAAATCCAAGATGGAAAACAGACAAAGCCAACTGGCAGGCGTTCCAGAACGGCTTGTCCCACTGTCTGAGACGCAATGAACTCACACAAGCCGAAAATGTGGAAGTGCTCGAAGCCAGACTAATAGAAGCCATTAATCAAGCAGCCTCACTGACCATACCCAAAACTCGGCCTGGGTTCTGGCGTCACAAGGACGCCTGGTACTTTAACAACGAGATCAGGGAGGTCAACCACAGGGTAAACATGTGCCGAAAACTATTCCGAAGGCAAAGAACCCCTGACAACTTCGCTCTGCTGAGGGAGGCTGTCAGGGATGCCAAGGAAACTGCCAACAGAGTCAGGCAGGAAAAGTGGCTGGAATGGTGTGAATCTTTCGACCACCAAACCACCCTTTCAGAGGTATGGCATCGGGTCAGGCGAGCTACCAGCCACTTATCCCCGAGGCGCACGCATTACGACCCTCGAGCAGAGGCAAACAGACTAGTGCACGAGTTCTCTGCGAGAACTAGCAGCAACAGTCTGCCAACCGAGCTGAGGGCAAGAAAAGAAAGCCTACAACCAGACAGACTCGCTCAGATCTGAGAAAGGGCAGCCGAACCCGATAACTCAGATGTTATCTTTTCTCTGAGGGAACTAAGAAAAGCTTACAAATTCATTTCCAACATAGTCCCGGGCTTTGATGGGATCACGTACCCCATTATCTCCCACCTAAGACTAGAAGGTGAACTTGCACTCCTTCAACAGATCAACAAGTCCTGGGAATCTTCCATTCTACCACAGAGTTGAAAGAGGGCTACCATAGTTCTCATTCCAAAACCAAAGGAACCAGGGAAGTACCGCCCCATCTCTTTCCTCAGCTGTCTGGCTAAGACAGCCGAGAGGATGGCACTAAACCTGCTCCAATGGAAAATGGGACCCTCCACGGGTTCACCAGGGGAATGAGCACAGCGCACAGCATAGCCACACTTTTAAGTGCAATCAGCACTAGCCCATCTGTGGTAGTATTCCTTGACCTGGATAAGGCCTTTGAATTAGCAAGTCCTCTTGCCATTCAGGAGAGCCTGATCCAGAAGGGAATCAGAGGAAAGCTCTTTTTTTTTTGATATACACAAAATAACAATAGAATGGCTGAGCCTCCTGAGAACACAAGTTCTCTTAAGGAGGCACCTTATTATAAGGGAATTGATGTGTATTAAAATCTTAGATTCTGTCAATCCACTCGCAGGTGGACTGAAGACCATAACAGTAAAAAGGTGAAAATATACAATATGCTATATATAACAAAAGACAGACTAGTAGATCGGACTAAGTTGTAACAAAAGAATAATTCTATTCATAAAAAACTAAATACTAAAATAACATATTGCACAAGATCATGTCTAAATACACACATACACATAACACAGGACAGACTAGTAGACTAGTAGATCGGACTAAGTTGTAATAAAAAAATATTTAATTCATAAAAAAAACACTAAAATAATATATTGTACAAGATTATATCTATATATACACACATACACACCTATATACATACCTACATACATAAACATACATACATATACAGTTTATATATACACACACACACATAAACATACATACCTATACACAAACATATGTATATACACATACATATACATAAATACATACATACATATACATATGAATATACTTATACACATATACATATATATACATGTACAAACATACACACACACTCACACACACATATATATATACACACACACACAAATATGCTTATATTAACCTTACATGCATTTGCATGTATTGCATAGATACATTGCACACTTATGTAAACATTCGTACAGATGCATGAATACCCGCTGTTATGTACCTGTATATATACTTATTCAAACTACTTTTTACATTTGTCCTAAACATTAGCATTCACTCTGACATATGTAATAGGTGGGTCTTCAACGATTTTTTGAGTGACAGCAGTGACGGAGCATTGTGGAGATGTGAGGGCAGATCATTCCATACACTTACCCCATGATATAAAATACATGTTTTTGATTGGTTTGAGCCTATAGTTGGGTGTTTTAATAGTGAGTTTGATCGGAGAGGATATCTTAAATCATTTCTGAACCGAAATAAGTTATTTTCGTATATACTGATACATTTAAAAATGAAGAGAGCACAGAAGTAGGTATTTATATCTCTCAGCTTCAATAGTTCCAGTGTAGAAAATGCCTCATTGGTATGGTCATATTTGCCTAATCCAGCAATGGTTCGGATTACTCGTTTTTGGGCAGTTATAACGGGTTTTAGCGTGGTTTCATTGACAGCTCCCCAGACAGTATTGCAGTATGTTAGATGTGGATAGATTAATTAAAAATATATGCATTTACGGGCATTCATTGTGAGAAAATCACGAGTATGGTACAAGATACCACACTGTTTATTAATTTTTTGACGAATACTGTTCGTATGACTTTTCCACGATAATTTATCATCAATGATTACTCCGAGAAATTTAGTTTCGGTTTTCCTTGACAAGGGTTTATGTTCTAATATTAACGGCAGAAGTGTAGGGGGAAGTTTCTTATTGCGATTAAATATGACATAATGGGATTTAACAATGTTGAGCGTAAGTTTGTTTGAAGAAATCCAATCACTGATAGTGCTGAGTTCTCTATTGATGTTACTAATGAGTTGATTAATATCTTTACCTGAAACATAGAGGTTACTGTCATCAGCATATAAGATGAATTCCAGATACGAGGATGTTTTCACCAAATCAT